TCTGAAATAAGAAATATAGAGAGAANGCTGGTTCGAATAGTAACAATCTGGTAGCTCGAAAGATTTCAACATGATTATGCACAATCTGAAATAAGAAATATAGAGAGAATATGTATATATAGAGAGAGGGAATGGAGCTTGGAGATGAACAAATGGTTGAGTTGAATATATAAGCTTTGAGCATTGATAAAGTGGTACTCTCAGATTCCTCCTATGAAGGATGGATGGCTGGTCCACTGTGTTGTCAAAATGTGTCGGGCCTTTTACAAGATTGGCTAGTTCAACACGTGAAAAGTTCGATTCTGGCATGCTTTGGTTCGAAATGAACCTCTTCCTATGGTCCACGTCCAACGTCAAATATTCCTAACTTAGTTTCACAGGTTGTGCATTTCACGAACATTTGACGAACACAAAATGAAATGTATGTCCAGTAGTTTGTGCCCATCATAGTTCATAAGTTAAAACCAATTTTATTTGAGTTGTAAAAAAAGAAAAAAAAAAGAAAGTATTTTCATGAGTTAACTTTGTCACCAGCCTGTCACTACTTGACGTGATTCTCAAATTATTAAGCTATCACGATGATTGCTAGTGACAATCTGACAGAGTGGAAATCTAATGTGAATTCCACAAGTTTTCACCTATTTAAATTGAAAAAATAAACTTATGTCATAAGCAAATTGATTTTATCAATTAATATCTTCTGCAAGGGATTACATTGATCACCTCCAATTTTAATTATTACAACCCAATATGTATTCATAACTTTCGATATATTTACAAACACGAGATTTGGAAGCAATTAATCATACTTAATTTTTGATCGACGTGTAAAAATTTTCGATTCGTACAGTTTTTAATTGTGAAAATTACACATTTGTTTGACAAATTTATAAATAAGAGGTATTGTAGTTGGCATCATAGATTTTTTTTTTTTTTTTTAATTTTGAAATGTTTATAAATTTGTACCAAGCATTTCAAATATTTTATGTTTTCTTTCGTGACATAATTATTCAAGAAGAAAATCTTGTGGTTAGTACAAGCATAATCTTTAATGACATTGACCTTTAATATATTTTTCTTTTGATGAGTGCTGTTCTTCTTGTGCCAATTAATTAGCTGCCTGTGTATAAATAATAGAGGAAATAGCGAAATGCTTGACTATTTTAGTATATGCCAAAATTGAAAATGAGTTTGAAAAACCTTAGAATAGATGTCACACAGCATAATAATATAAAATAACTCTTTACTGCTTGGAACTAATTCTTATCATATCTTGCCCTAATTAGGTAAGCAAATTCCTTTCATGATAAAGTATTCATATATAATTTAAGTAAACAACATTGATGTTCATCAATAAAGGTGATGATAAATATAAGCCCATGATGGAGGTGGACTACTCGTGGTGGTGGTTGGGGGTGGTGTGGGGTTGGTTGGTGGAGGTTGGATTCCGTTTTGTTTTATTTAAAATAAGGGTATATTTGAAGTTTTTTACATGTAAGTGTTTAGTTGACATTATCGTCATGACTGTTAATAATTGATAGTCGTGTGTTAAAGTGATACAAATTGAAATGAAGTGATTTGATTTAAGATTACGTTAAAGTGCAGTGATTGCGAATGAAATTAACTCAGATCTAAATATCCTTGAATTTGTTTCTCATTCCGTCTATGTAACCGTGTCACTACAACTCTATTTCTTTTTTTTTTCTTGAATATAAACAAATTGGTATGCGTTAACAAGTTAACAACTAGTCAAAAATTACGTTAGAATTGATTACAAAGCTTGTTTTTCGTCACATAGGTTTTTTGTGAAACTATTTTATATCGGGTCAAAATTGACGACACATTCTAGATAAAAAGAAAAAGAAGAAGCTTAATTAGTTTTCCTCATTCGGGAATTTTGTGAAACAAAACTAGATTGAGTTGAAATTCATATAAAGTATTAGATGATAAGGGACTCTTTTTTTTCTTTTTCTTTTTCCTCGTACGACAATTGAGAAAAACCAAGCTAGCTTTCGTACCAAATAATAGACATGACAAAACAAGCCTCTATTTAGTAAAATTTATGTAGGAAAAAGATTTGCGTAGAAAAAGAAAAATCACATTGCATATAGAATTGCAGACAAGTATTGGTGTTTTATGTTTGGAGGTTGGGAGACTAAATCATAAATAATATCTTCAATGATTTTGACCACACAACATTCATTGTCTAAGATCATTTTGCTTCGAGCTGGTTGGCTACTATTCCAAATTACTCTAAAACCCCCCCTTTTTTTTTGTTAATTTTTACACAAATATGTTGTCTCCCTTTATTCAGATTCATATAATTTTCTAGACCGCGTTACATGTATAATTTTTGATATTAGTAATGTCAAGGCGAAGGACAACTCTTTATAAGTGTTTGTTCCATCGTATTCAATAGTACCTATATGCTATGGCTTGGTTCACTCATAAAGAAAATAGAGTTGAGTTGGGAGCCTTCAGTTCGTATTTATAAGTATATTTTACATATTTTATCTAGACTCTATATATATATATATATATATATATATATATATATATATATATATTATTTGAGAAAATTTCTATGTAAAACTAGTGTATATATTGCTTATATAGATAAAATTCCCACTTGAAGGCGAATTGAGCAAAAGGGAGGCCAGCTGAAGATTATTTGAGCAATATAGATGGAACTGAAGAGCAATCGAGAAGAGTGTATTTGATTGGAAGCAATTGGAAGCGAAGGACTAAAAGTGTACAAGAATTTGGAATGGGGACCAACTTACACACTAGAAACTTGAAGGATAAAATAGGAAGAACTTCGAAGTTGATGGATAAAAGTTTAAAAGTAGTGGGACCAATTTGGATATGATCAAAAGTAAAAGGAACAAAATGAAAAATTATAAACTTCAGGGATCTAGGCTGAAATTAGTATGCTTTTCCTCGGCGGAAGCAGGGCGAAAATATTTGTTATTTGTTGCCTTTGCCGCCCAAAGCTTAATATCTGGACACGATAAAAAGTGATTCCCTCGTTGACTAATTTCACTACGACGAAATTTTAATTTTTAGTATATGTCTAAAGAGAAAAAAATCTGTTCACTGCAAAATCATGGAATAGGAATAAGATTCCTAAAATAGATTATATTGATCAGAAATTAATTAATGATGCATCTATGAAAAAATTAATATCATTTTAAAATAGTGTTATCGACAAATTCAGGTATGGGAATCTACTTTTCTGGATTTCAATTCATTCCATTAAAAGAGGATTCTGCTATCACTTCAATTTCCATTCGTTTAATTTTTCAATAAAGCCATAAGTACAGAAAAAATTTAACAGAACTTATATCGACAGTGACGTGGCAAAATGCAAGTTAACTATTTTTCTTCTTTTTTCTTATCTTCCAATGATATTGCGCCATGTATTATATGTAAGGTTTTTCTGTCAAAAAAATCTGTACTTATAACATGATTCTTTTGCTTTAGCCCGTCGAAATAATAGAATCCGGTTCTTGACAATATCCACTCAAAACTCACAATTTGGTACTACTCCATGGACCTAATGTCGATGAATTGGATCAAGTCAACACCTTACCAAGGCCCAACACATGATCCAGCCCACAAATTGTTATAGCTAAATTTATGGGATAAGCAATTGACAGGTCATGTGTACCTTCAAGATTACTCAATTCCATCTTCTGATTGTCATCATCTATATAAAATGAACATTCATTGTCCTTTCAAATTTTTTGGCTATATGATGTAACTAATGCAATAAAAAATAATTCACAAGTCATGAAACTTTCCAAAATCATTTGTTTCTTTTCTTCATGTTAAGGAAGCCAAATTATTCCCACTTTTACTTAAGCTTTCTAATATGCTCTTCCATTCCTCCAAATTTACAATCTCATTCTTTCATCCCTAAGTCAGAGATTATGAGTTAGATTTTCTATTCTCCGTCTCGTGTAGAATTTGTAATTCATATTTAGCGGCGTGATAAAGAATAATCACCTCACAGTTTAGGAGTCAAACATCATTTCTCTTTACACATAGATACAGCTATGGGAAATGATGTGTGTCAAGTGTTGTGCGCATATACAGTCATATCACAATTGCTGTACTTGTAACATTGTTTTACAATTATAGGTTTCATGAACTTTTATCATTATTTCAAATCTACCATAGAACTGAAAATTTGTTTTAGAAATGACCCTCATACCCTCGTTTGGCCTCCATTAGATTAAATTTTATTTTTCTATATATTTTTAATCACACAATCTTTCCTAAAATAAAATTATACGTAAATCGGAAATTTATCCTTCTTTTTCAATCAACAATTCTCCAAAAAATATTATTCCACCATTTAAAATAATGTGGCCAAAATACAGCACAAATTGTCCATGAACTTTACCATATGTTACAAATTCCACCTTCGGATTGATAACTCATAAAGTATTGTTAGCGACATTTGACTGACATCTGTAATTGATTACAGAGTAGAAAAAATAGTTTCCACGTGGCTTAAGATGATTAGTGAAGATTACTGGATTCCAAAGGTTAAGAGGAATATGCGTTGTTGAACTTGAACACGATTTCCATAAAAATTTTACCATCAATTTTTTTATTAATTAGTACGTTACGTCATGTTTTAAAATTAGAGAAAAATATTCTGTTTCATTTTCGTACTTATTATTTTCTTACAAAATATGTTGAAAAATAAGTCGTTTTACCAGTTCTTAATCTACCTCTTTCTTGGACGATACATGTGCTAATTAATAAAATATTAAAGATTTAATTTAAGAATATGTTATGCTATAATGAGCAAAGATTGAATACTTTTAATGCAATTAATAAAAATTGTACTATAAATATAATTTTTCTGAAGGTAAATTCCGAAATTAATTAATTCGTAGAATAATTTTGTGAAAGATAAAAACTACTAATTGTAATTGAAAAAAGAAAAAAAGAAAAAGAATTATGACGGTATCAGTGTCGTTTGCTTCATCACTGATCCGCACTATAAAGAATCAAACATTTGCCGTCAAATATCTTCTCATTTAAAATTTATTTTATCCATGAATTTTAACTATATTACAAATCCTTCTGATTCGATTCAGGGAATTTCAACAAAATTGAGCCTTTAATTCAGTGAATTTTGGAAATTCAAAGCAGTGGAGAATCGAAAGTCAAGTGAGGATTCCTTGAAGGATTCAGAGGTAATTGGCTCGAAAATTTGATTTGGATGTATAATTATGGTCTTCGCAAGAAAAAAATGAAGAGTTAATTGTTTAGTCAAGGGATTTGAAAGAAAGGCTGTAAGATTTCAGAGCAAAACTCTGTAATTGGACTTTTTTTTCATCTGTTTTTGAATTTGCTTGTTTCTGTGCTTTATAGAAAATTTCGATTTATAGTAATCAAATTACTACTCGATTCCTATATTTAACTGTGTTTGATAATTATGGTAGGTTATACTATTATGCTTCCAATTTTCCGTAGTGGGGTGCGTTGAAAATCTTTTCACCTCAATTTCAGTACTCCTATTCACTTTTTTCTATTCTGTTAGCTTTATATAATTTAAATCTATTTATTTGGGTATTTTGAAATTAGTTTGAAGTATGATCTGAATTTAGTAGAATGCTTATTCCAACTGTATGTTGAAAGTGCTTCCAATTTTCATTAATTGAGGAAGAAGTGTAAATTGGATTAATCAAAATTCAATAGCTTTCTCTATTCTATTTGCATCCATTGTGAAATTAATCAAAAGTGTGATCAAAATTTAATCTTAGAATTCTTTGTCGGATATGTTATCATGCGAGCACTTTCTATCCTTATATTCCTATTTGAGCATTTCATTGAAGAGATCTTATATATGTTTCTTCTTCATGAAATTGCCTTTATGAGTCAAAGGATGGTTCATTTATTTAGTTCGATCAATTCATAGTTAATAATGCAAGTACAAGCAAAAAGTAGTAATTAAATTGTTCTGAAGGTGCTGATTAAGTAGTAATCCAACTCGAGGGTGAAGTTAATTTAGTGTATGTGCACATTTGAGGACCATGGCAATTGATATTGATCATTCTTTTACTCTTTAATTCGTCTTAATTTTCACATCAGGTGCATACAATGTGTATTAGATATGGTTCTTTACGTGAAACTTTTAGAATCACATTGCCGGTGCATGTTTCTATGCAGACTTATATTCATTTATGAAATTGATATGTGCTTGATGGCAATCTGCCGGTACAACCTTTGTAATTATTGTAATCCCTGTAATGGTTTCAGTATTATGGCAATTCCAGTGGATCCCCCTGATGGGATTGGATCTCGAGGGAAGCATTACTATTCCATGTGGCAAACCCTGTTTGAGATTGACATAAAATACGTGCCAATCAAGCCTATTGGACGAGGGGCGTACGGCATTGTCTGCTCTTCGATAAACAGGGAAACCAATGAAAAAGTCGCAATCAAGAGGATCAATAATGCCTTTGAAAATCGTATTGATGCACTGAGAACTTTGCGTGAACTGAAGCTTCTTCGTCATCTTAGACATGAAAATGTGATTGCTTTGAAAGATGTCATGCTGCCTATTCACAAGGGAAGTTTCAAGGATGTGTACTTGGTTTATGAGCTTATGGATACAGATTTGCATCAGATAATTAAGTCATCTCAGATGCTTACAAATGACCATTGCCAATATTTCCTCTTCCAGGTATGTTGCATGATTACTTGCATAAGCATATCATTTACATGATTCTGTTTTAGTTTATTATTCACCTATCTGGCTATCTTGTAGTTTCAAACAACTAACCGATGGGTTATTTTTTAAGTTTGAGCAGGTCAGACCTGTGCAGACCAATTAGATACTATCTGATCATTACTCGATTCATGATTTTATAATGTATGTTAAACCGGAAGAATATCTAGTGGGTTTCTCATACTATCACTGTGATTTCAAGTGTTCAACTACTCATAATGGGAACAATCCATGTAAAGGCCCCACTAAAATCAAAGACACATTGCAATCTACTTGCATGTGGAGCTGCAACAAATCCATAGATAAAGAAAAATAAGAACAAAATTTTAGCCTTTGAATTTAACGATTGGAACATGGAAGTTTACTTGTATGCTTAATGTGGTTTTGTACCACCTGTAAATTCTTCCTCTCCTACACGTTTGATGCCATTCTTTAATTGTCTTTATAGTTATAATTATAAAACCCAGGAAAGGACTGCTAGCACTAGTTTGTTTTTCGTGAATGAACAAATCTAATTGTTGAATTCGGCTTACGTCTTAAATTTTACCGCATAGTGCTTTTAGCTTCAGTAAGGCAGAGCATTATATCTTGTTTCCTTCAAGACCCCAAGAGATCTCTCATGAACATGGGGTTTATTTAAGCTATTCATATCCTTTCCGTGTTATTTACTCCCATTGTGAACGTCATATTTTTCTTTTTGTTCGATGATTTTATATCATAAAATCTGTTTGAAACTTCCCCAGCTTCAGGCAGCTCTCTAAACTTTTTAAGTAACTTTTCTATGTTTTTTAACACAGTTACTTAGAGGTTTGAAGTATCTACACTCGGCAAACATTCTTCATCGTGATTTGAAGCCTGGAAACCTACTTATCAATGCAAACTGTGACCTAAAAATATGCGATTTTGGGCTTGCACGAACAAATAGCGGCAAAGGTCAATTTATGACTGAATACGTGGTCACACGCTGGTATCGAGCCCCAGAGCTTCTTCTCTGCTGTGACTATTATGGGACCTCCATCGATGTTTGGTCTGTTGGCTGTATCTTTGCAGAACTCCTTGGTAGAAAAGCCATTTTTCCTGGTACTGAATGTCTTAACCAGCTTAAATTAATCATCAATATCCTCGGTAGCCAGAGGGAAGATGATCTCGAGTTCATTGATAATCCGAAGGCTAGAGAGTACATTAAGTCACTTCCTTACTCCCCCGGATCCCCATTTTCTCATGTTTATCCTAATGCCCATCCTCTAGCTATTGATCTGTTACAGAAGATGCTCATTTTTGACCCTTCGAAGAGGATTAGTGTGACCGAAGCACTTCAACACCCATACATGTCTCCCCTGTATGATCCGAAATGTGACCCTCCGGCCCAGGTTTCTGCCAATCTTGACATAGACGAGGATTTAAAGGAAGACGTGATTAGAGATTTAATGTGGATGGAAATACTTGAATACCATCCAGAAGCTGCCACGGGTAATATGGATGTGAGCCACTGCACTTGAGTTTGTTGGAGTTGGGCATTGGAGCTTGTTGGTTTCTTGCATCAGAACTTTTATGGTTATCTTGCTTTCTCTCTTTAGTTAATTTTAATAATTCTGTAACAATAAATGACCAGTTTGGGTAGTTAATGTGCTTGCTGTTGTTTGGGTTTATATGTTGTTTTTAGGCTCCGAACTTTTTTCCGACGTTCCTCGTAGCTTGTAAATATTTGTCTTGAGAACTTAACTGTGTACATTATTTATTATAATGTTAGGTATGAAACTGAATGAAGATTTTCACTGCATGGTAACAATGTATACGCTTGTATAGAGCTTACTGAAGTTGACTATGTAGACTTGGTTTGGCAGGATCATTAATTGGTAATAGAAATCTTCCTTCTTTTCCCTTACTAGAGATCTGAAACTAGCAACACACGAGAGATGAAGATTAAACTGCTCGACTTGTGGAGAATACGAAATCTTTCACCTAATTATTCCCACAACAAAATCAACACCTCTCCATCCGATTTGCACCATGTCATTATCACCACCCCCACCATCACTAAAGTCGCACATCACCACCGTAAAAACCAACTTCCCGAATCCAATCTCGTCACCACTGCCCTTAAACGCATATACCACCAAAATATTGAAGTTTTGTTCTTATTTTTACTTAATTTTTCTCACTCGAAAAGGTAAAAAAATTAGGCAAAAACCCATTGTTGGAGGGAAAATGGTTGTTCTACATCACCATTTATATAATTTTTTACAGATTGATGGAGTGTCAAATAAAAAGTCGGGGAGTTTTTTTTTATTTGGTTAATGAAATTTTGATCCAATCAAATACTACATCATCTATTGGCATGTAACACAGTCGTCGTTTGAGATGAACAATGAGAATTAGAACTTTTTTTTTTTTTTTGTTAAGTGTTGATGGTTGTGATATTAGTGGTTTTGTAACGGTTTGTGGAATGTGTTGACTAGTTTTTTAGGTGGTTTGTGGTGCACGTTGGTGGTCGATGCTGTTATTAATCAATTACAATCCAAAAAATTATGCATACTATAATGGTACTATATGTAATTTTTTATTTATGACTGGTATGTATAATAATTTTAAAAAAATATATACAAATGTCACCATCAACACAATGTAAATTATAATTTCAAAAAAATTACCTAAAATGTAACGTGATTTAAGTATATAATAATATAGGGAAAATTAGATAATAGAAAATTAAGATAGAGAAAATAAATAGTGTATAAATAACATTATACCTCAATTGGGCAAACTTAACATTGAGGCGTGCATGTTAAATCAATGGGGCGTCTGTACATTGGATATTCTAAGAATTGTGGACATGAAATCAATGAAACATTCTTCCAAAACGTGCAAATTATGGTACTCACTTTAAGACAATATTCGTCCCATCAAAATAAATATACGAAATAAGTGCCAGCTAATAAAGAATGGTATCACATGTAAGAATTGAACATTGAAAATTATTGTACTCTTTCAATTTTCAAACAATATTGATCCCACCAAGGTCAGTACGTGAAATGGTTGCTAGCTAGCAAGGATGGTATCTTATATCGGTATTTAAGAAATATAAGTATTGAAAGTTCTTGCAAAACAAGCATAATTGTCTTACAATGTTTTTAAATAATATTCGTCCTACAAAGATCATTATACGAGATGATTACTGGTTAGCAAAGAAAATGACACACTTGGAGTATTTTAAGGAACATATTTAGACATGGACTCGATGAATGTGCTTCCAAAACAAACAAAACACCGTACTCGATGAATAGTGGAATGGTTGCCAACTAGCTAGGAAGGTTGTTCCAATATTTGATGGTAGATAGATATTCAATTAGGACAACATTATGAAGGGAATATGAGGCCCTTAACAAGCGTTAAATGTACGCAAAATGATGTCTAACATTTCAAAACTCGTTGATTAAATACGATACGCAAAATATGGAGAATTTTTTTTACTGTATTTTATTTAATATTCAATTAAAAGTAACCAAATAACAACTAACCCTTTGTTCTAGCTTATAAAGAAAAATAGAAAGTCCAACTTAGTTTCTAATCAAAGACCAACTTTAAGAAAATTACCATAAACGAATCTCTTCCTAATCTCAATATGAAAATAAATTAAAAAACAAAAACTAATTTTCAGTTTACAGTGTCTATTTGACCACCTAAATGTTAGAATTTGACTCAAAAACCAGTGGCTCGAGAGATTTAGTTCATTATTTTTGCTTGGAGATTGATGTTCTAAATGAAAATTTATTATTGTTCATTAAATTTCGATACGATTAATTGACGGATCAAAATATCCTATTGCACCAGTGATTCACCATTTGGAATTTTGGAATCCCATTGACTTGAGGAAGATATTTAAGATTAATGATGTGATGTGTTGAAATGGTAGGTGAGAATTTCTGGTGATCGGTACATTGCATGCAGTCATCTTTAAATAAAAATATGAAAAATTCCGTATCAAAATTAATGTGTAGGAAGAATAAGACAAATCTCAATAATCAATTACCATAAAATTTCCTCAGTCTCATCAATGATATGAAAAGACAAGGAAATTCTCTCCAACCACTATCAACAATTATAGGAGAAAAACAGTCCACAATTTTTACATGAAATCCCAACCTATACATGAAATTCGGAATTGATCGATTCGTTCGATCTGAAAATCGATGAACTGATCCCCAATCCGATCCGAGGTACTTATATAGATAACTGTGGACTTATAAAAGTTGGTTATACCGGCTATATTTTTGCAGAAATTACAAGATTTGAGAACTGATCGTGGGAAACTTCCGAGGGTTCGAGTAATGGAGGCCTAAATGATAAGTCTTTAGACATGGAAAAAGTAAAAAGGAATATTATGGGGGCTTTTTAGTAAATGCACAATGTCATTTACTTTTTAAATATTTGGCTTTAGCAAAAGGTTAAAGGTGGGCTTGTAAGGTTTGTCTAACCGTTGTTTTGAAAGATGGATTTGGAAAAAATAAAAAATCCTATCTTGAAATTCTTTGGTTTCCCTCAAGACACTGTTTGGTGGCACCTAAAAATTCACATTATCTTCAAGAATTATGATTCTCATAACAATGCGCATGGCATTATTTTGTGGACGAAAATCTTACACATAAAATATCTCCAACCTAGACAGGATTGTGTATTTTTAAATAGGACTCTATTGAATTTTTTTTTTAATTTATTTTTTTTTCAAGATTTTTGGCATCAATTCGAGTAGATAGCAGTTAATAGATTTTGATGACAACAAATTGTATAAACAATGAGAGTAATGCTATTCATAGTCATTCACTACTATAATCGTCCTACATGAGATACACATAGCAAGTGGTTATTTGATGCATTATAGTATTATTCAAACAATGAACATGAAACTAGGGGATGTATTTAGTAAGAATATTATGATTTAAGATTTCATCTTAAAATATTAATCATATTATCAGGAGTAATTCAAATTTTTATATGTTGGTTATTTATTTCATCTTTAATCGACGTTGAATAGTTATCGTTTAATACGCTCCGTAATATGGTGACTCATTTGAGAACACTAATTTTGAAATTTATATACTAGATTGTGTCTAGTCAAATCAAATTGCTCATTTAAAATTAATGGATTCTTAAAATATAATAACTTGAGATTGTAAATAAGTGAGTTGCTAAATTGGCAATGGAGCACGCAAACCTTACATATTCATTCTTTTTTCCATTCTACAATACAGAAGATTTGATCCTGTTTAAATCTCCATCTCCACCAAAAGTAAAGATGAAAAAGTAAATATTTGGTGCAGATGTTGCCTTCGTAATGAAGCAAGTTCCAAGAAGATAACGAAATCTTTACAACTTGATTGGTTTGAACAAGATTATATACATACAGAAAGTTATATATGCATTACCACTTCATCAGTTTGTAGCTTTAAAACTCTTATCCTGAACTTGAAGTGCTTTAACTATTTACTATCTATCAATATTGAGTACATGAGCTTTGAAGATTGTTGACTTGTAAACAGTAAAAGAAAAATGAGTGCCTTTTAAATGTTTCCAAGGCAGCAACCTAATTATGTCCGTCCAATATATGAAGGACATATGATAGCAGTGTAGAAATAAGAAGATTTCTTGGAAAGTGGGATTGATATGAATATAAATAATTTTTCGGAGAAGTTTGGATTAATTTTGAGTGAAAACGGCCAAATGAGCAAAATTCGGTGAGAAATTTTCTCTGAAGCTTCTCTCTTTTTTGGCATTCATGAGCAAATCAACAAGTTTGAGTTGACACGTGGGATTCTTATTTCTTTCCGATAAGCCTCTGCTAGTACTTAGCATGCACGAACAAGTTCCAATCAATTAATCGTGAATGCATATAAGGATTCGTGTCACTCGATTACTTGAAACACAGTCGGTAAGAAAAAACAAGAATAGTAACCGAATTCAAAGAATATATCGTCAATTCGATACTATGGATTCCAACCTTACTAAAGACGTCAAATTTTACGTACTATTCAAAGTTAAAGAAACACCTTTAAGCTCGTGTGAAATTCATGGCGTGTATATAAATTATACAATACTCAAAGTGAAACGGCTTGACTACAAAAATTAAAGTTGAAAGAAAGCAAAGCAGCTGCAAAACCTTCAACCCATAACTACTACTTTTTTTCTTTTAATACTTCAATTCTGATCCTACAAACCGCCATTGTCAGACCATCTTTGCCGTACATGCTTATCAGGGGCGGACCCACATGGATCATGTGGGGGCCAAATGACCCCCCCAAAATTTGCATCTCTCTTTGACAAAAAATAGTTATTATAATCTCCTTTCGATCTATTTTGACGCACTCATTACGAATGTCAAATAAAGTCAAAATATTACATTTTTAATACCATTTTGAAGTGATCACGGTCTAATTTTTCACCTATTAATGGTGTGCTAAAATGATCAACCACAACAAAAGTTACAAAGTGTCAAAGTAGGTTATTCCTAACTGGTATTTAGAAAATTTCGATAATATATTAACTTTTAAAATTCATCGACAATCGCATGCTATCCAGATACACAAATTGACTATGTCACGTATAATCTTGTTTTGAGAACTATATCATAGTCATATTGAAAGATCCAAACGAATATCGAAAATATTAAATATGCGTCAAACATCTGTTTCAAAAAGAGATGTCTAATTTATTTTTTCTTTAAGAAAATTCAATTATTTCGTTAGCTTTTATTATTTTTGCCAAAAAAAAAATCTCAATATAATT